GCTGTGCAGCACGTCTCTCACGAGTCCACAGAAACAGTGGACGGGGCAGGCTCAGCTCAGAGGCAGCCCGCCTGTACCCACAAGGTCCTGCGTTCAGTCCCCAGGCTGCAGAAATGGAAAAAAGAAATCTTTTTAAAAAAATATTAGGAAATTGAAGTTAATACATGGAAAGGATAATGTATCATGAACAAGTGGATTTATCCCAGTAACTTCTTTATTTTTTAGTTGTTGATGGACCTTTATTTTTTATGTATTTATAAGTGGTGCTGAGGATCGAACCCATTGCCTCACACGTGCGAGGTAAGCGCTCTGCCACTGCCCAGCCCCAGCCCCAGCCCCGTCATTTCTTTTAATATTGAAAATCAACCAGCGGATTCCTGGGTTCCTCCTGGACCAAGGAAGGAAGGACATCTGGGATGGGGCCCAGGTGACTAGAGCATTTTCAGCTCTCAGAGTGAGCCAGATGTTCCCGTGAGGATAGAGAACCATGATGTGATCTGAATGCTGCACTTTCTTTTTTTTTTTTCCAAAGAGAGAGAGAGAGAGAGAGAGAATTTTTTTTTAATTTAAATTTTTTTAGTTTTTGGCGGATACAACATCTTTGTTTGTATGTGGTGCTGAGGATCGAACCCGGGCCGCACGCATGCCAGGCGAGCGCGCTACCGCTTGAGCCACATCCCCAGCCCAAATGCTGCGCTTTCTTAGTAGATTCTGACCTCTTCTCTTTTGATTTTATTTCTGCTTTTTTTCCTTTCTTTTTTTTTAATCAAATCCAGAGCTTTGAACATACTAGGCAAAAGGTCTACCACTGAGTTACATCCCCAGCCCTTCTGTATTTTATCTTTCTTATTTAATAATTATCCATCATTCATTTATCTTTTGCAGCACGGGAATTGAACCGAGGACACTTCACCACTGAGCTACATCCCTGTCCTCATGAAGTTGCTGAGGCTGGCCTCGAGCGTACTGTGTTCTCCTGCCTCAGCCTCCCAAGCCACTGGATCACAGGTACGCCACCACACCCAGCCCCCTTCTGTGTTTTTAAAAATCTATTTTCACCAAGACCAAGGCCACATGCTTTTCTCTTTGGCACCTTTGTGAGGCTCAGGTGATCCCCTTGTTTCCTTTCCCCTGAGGAATGAGAGTCTCCTCTTGTGCTCCGATCCACCAAGACTCAGACCACCAGCAAGTGACCACACTTGCTTTCTGTTTACTGCATGTGACTGTGGCTCAGTCACCTCCCCTGACTGGGTTTAGTATTCTAATTTGGGAAATAACAGAACTGGCCTGGACAACGCCAAAATTTCTTAAAGTGCTAGAAAATTTTCACTCTAGAAATAGCCATGGTGAGGGCTGGGGCTGTAGCTCAGGTGGTGGAGTGCTTGCCTTGCATGCACAAGGCCCTGGGTTCAATCCTCAGCACCACAAAAAAAAAAAGAAAAGAAAAGAAAAGAAAAAGCCATGGGGAGAAGCCTGGATGTGCACAGAGGCACGGTATCCAGACTCTGGCAGCTCGGCACGGCTCACCAATGTTTCTGCCATGATTGTCGTGTACAAGAAAGAATAAACAAAATAAGGCACATTTTAAAAACAAATTAGGGCTGGAGTTGTGGCTCAACGGTAGAGGGCTCGCCTCGCATGTGCGGACCCCTGGGTTCGATCCTCAGAGCCATATAAAAATAAATAAGTGAAATAAAGGTGTTGTGTCCAACTACAACTACAAAATAAATATTAAAAATAAATAAATAAATAAAAACAAATTAAACTTTAAGACAGTCATCCAACTGCTCCTTTTGCATGGATATTCCTGAGTGTCGTACTGGGACAGATCAGTGGGCGTCGCAGACACGGCCCTGTCCTCACGTCCTGCACCCCACTGTTGGGTAAGGAATGGATAATAACGCAAAAAGTCCATATTTATTAAGTAAAAAAAAAAAAAGAAAGAAACAAAATCAAGGCAATTTACTACATTAAAACAGACGCATGATAATCTCAATAGGCAGAGAAAGCATTTGGAGAAGATTCGGCATCCCCCCTGATAGAACTCCCACCAGGGCCATGAACAGAGAAGACCACAGGCCTGAGAAGGGGACTGGAAAACCCGCTGGCCACCTGCAGGTTCCACAGGCATGCTCCCCGAGGTGACTGAGGAGGGGTCTGCGCCACCTCCTCCACGGCAGTGCCCGGACTGCCAGCCGGGCAAAGGGCAGGGCCGAGCATGCACCACAAAGCAGGGCCTCAGTCAGGAAGAAGAAGCACACAAACACAATTATCTACACAAAAAGTCTAATGGTATCTACAAGAAAGGGAAAAAAAATCCTGCCAGAACTAACAAGTAAACTTAAAAAGGGGTATCATGAAACACAGTCACAGTGGCACGCATGTATAGTCCCCACTGGAGGCTGAGGCAGGAGCACCATCTGAGCCACAGAGCTGAGGCCAGCTTGGGCAGCAGGGATACCCCGTCTTGATAAATAAATAAAATAGACACACACACACTTGTGTGTATATCACGTGTGCATACACATATATAGATAAGTATATGTACATATGTGCAGTTTTCCAGTCTCCTGACATAGTTCCTAAAACCCCAGGACTTTGGAATGGTTAAGTGTCATATGCTAATGAGATGACTGCTGGCTGGACATCCCTAGGGAGCGTCAGGACTGGCTTGGTTACTAGAGAGACCAAGATGGATCAGAGGCCAGACGCTCAGCCTCACCCTGACCTCCAGGCAGGGAGGGGGCTGAAGGCAGAATTGCTCACCCGTGGCCAGTGGTGCAATCAGTGTCACCCTGGTAAAGAAGGGACTGGGTTCAGGGAGCCTCCAGGTTGCTGAGCTGCCTTGCATGCCAGGAGGGCGGCACCCGGCTCCATCGGGGAATGCTCCTGTGCCTAGGACCCTCCCAGACCTCGCCCTGCATCCTTCATCAATATGATGTGAAGGCAGTGCCACTCTGCCCTCCGCAAGCCTGGGACCTGCGGACCTCATGCCCTCTCCAGGCCCTGCCGGGAGGGAACTGAGCTGGCAGGTGCCCAGCCAGCCTCTGCTGCAGACCCTCCAGAGAATCGCTCAGGTGTGGGAAAGCCCACACATCAGGTGTCGGAAGTGTCGTGTGGCTGTGTGAGAAAGGAGAATAGGAAAAGCAGTTTGGTTTGACCTGTATCCCAGAGAAAGGTTTCCATTCATAAGATCAATGTAGCATGTATTTCTATTAGCACCTGTCAATCAAAACCTGAATACACTTGGAACACTGTGGAAAGACGGAAGCACCAGGTTAACTGGCAAGAGCCGTGGGGTGGAGACCTCGAAAACCAAGAGCAGCTCAGAGGTGTGGACAGCTGGGCAGCAGGGGCTCCGGGGTATGCTGGGGCTGAGCCTGTGAGACGTCCAGGGAAGCAGGGAGGCATCCTGGCTGCACACCTGGATCTGGGCAGGAGGAGACTGAGAGGGACGTGCAGGGGTGGTCAGCATAGACATCATGGCCACACAGGACAGGAGAAGGCCTGTGCTACAACCTGCCTAAGTGGCTGGGGAGCAGGGCAGGTCACAGAAGAGCTGAAGGAGAAGTGACCAGTGGGTAGGAGGACAGCCAGGGATGCAGAGTCCTAGAGCCAAGTAGAGGAAGAACATGAAGGAGGAAGTGACCCTTGAAGGGGACAGTGCTGAGGGTCTGGCGACCTCCTCGTCCTCAGTATTCTTACACTGATGCCAGAGACAAGAGCAGAATGCATGTGCTCATGTCAGGGTTTGGCCTTGAGTCTTCCCTTCTGGTCCTCACCCCACCTTGGTGCATAGCTGAGATGGGGCCACCCTCCCCTGGGCCACCTCTCAGACTCACTTAGAACAACACTGTGCCATCAGCACCACCGACCGCTCAACAGAAGACCCAGTAGTAGAGCACTTGCCCAGCATGTGTGAGGCACTGGGTTTGATCCCCAGCACTGCATATAAATAAATAAATAAATAAAATATAGGTCCATCAACAACTAAAAAACGTTAAAAAAAAAGCACCCAGCTCAGAGCGAGGCATGTAAAGGGGACAACAGCCATTCCCAAAGGCCACCACAATCGTCCCAGTTCCTCCCAGGCGGGCTGCAGGGCATCAGCCTCTCTAAGCATCTCTCCTCTGTGGAGCCTCCCTCTGTAGGCGGCTCCCTGGTACCTTCTGCCCTGTTTCTAACTCCTGGGAGCAGGGAGGTCAGCCCAGAGGAACTAAGGATGTCCATCGGAACATCTGAACAGTCATGGTGAATGGAGGCTCTTGCTGACCAGTTCAAAACCTCAGAAACCAAAAAGAAAAAAGCACTCGGAGCCTGAGCTATCCAGAAAAGCCCTCACACTGGAGCAGGCCAAGTGGACGAAGAACAGGGAGAAGGAATGACCCTTCAATCATCGGTGCAGGTCCCCTGAAGACCCAGAGCCAGCCTGGGGTGTGGCCACGCTGGCCACTTTGCAGGGGCCACAGTCACACAGCAACAGTCTGTCCCTGTTGGAGGGCACACACCATCCCCACCTCCCAGGATCTAGGGCCCAGCAAGACCTTGTGGCAGAAGACACAGAGTTTCCAAGCTTCGTCAAGATCTTGGTGGTCACTGGGTGTCTAGTACTCGGGGCAGAAAACTTGGTTGGCTAAGGTATTTTTAGCAGCAGCCTCCAGTGCCATCTGAATTATGCAGCAGCAGCTCACAGCCATGAGTCAGCAGCAAGCAGCTGCGTTGCCCCTGACCCTGCATGCCTGCATCACCAGGAGCAGGCTCACGCCCAGGCCAGCCACTCCCTCCTCCCCACCTCCCTCACCTCCGCTCTCCCCAGGGGTCCAGTGCAGTTTGCCCCCTACTGAACACTCTCCTGCCCAAGAACACCCTCCTCCTGGCTCTGATTCCCCACAGCCCCAGGGTCAACCAAGAAAGAACATCCCTGCAGAATGTAGGCAGATGACAAAGCCTGTCTTTACAAGGACAGCCTGCACCATCCCTCACCACCCCTGGCTGCTCACCTGGCAGGAGCGGAACTGGCTGACCAGTAGTGTACACCGCTGGGGGTCCTTCCGCCCATCCAGGCTGTCCAGCTCCGCGGCCACCTGGTTCAGCTCCTCGTCAGCATAGTAGAACTGGGCCAGCAGCTGTGGGTCTGACCGCTGCAGGGGAGAGAGACACCAGGAAAGTGAGTGGACGGCTAATCACTGGAGAGGACACAGTAGCTGGTGGTCTCTTCCCAGGGCGGAGGTCCCAGGCCAGAGCCTTCTGCACTGAGCAGTAGCTAGCTTTCACATCAGATTTCTGCACAAGGATCTCTAGCAACAACTAGAGCTGGGGAGCAGACCACTGGGGCTTAGGGGCTCTGCCTGGGGGGGCCCACTTAGAGGGCAGCCCGAGGCTGTGGGGTCCAGGCTCTGCCCCAGACCCTAGGTTCTCATCAGAGCCGTGGCCGAGGGGTTCTGGGAAGGGAAGGGAAGATGAAATGGCTCCCAGAAAAGACATTCACAAGTCCAAACAAATGATAAAGATGGTCACTGAGGGAAGTAGCCAGAGTAAGCAACGGATCTTACTCCAAAGATGCAGCCACAGCGCCGCCTGTGCCACTCCCTGCTCTCCCAGGAGCCCCTCGGCCCTCTCAGCACCGTTTCCACAAGGCCAGGAACCCCAGTGCTTCCTGGCAGGAGAGCTCAGCTCAGCGGCGCCACCCACCACACTCACAGGGCTCTGGTCTAGCAACAGCACCCCTTCCCTCGACACCAAGAGAAGCTCCCCTGCCCGGGCCTTGCATGTGCAGCTCTCACGACACCAAGGGCTGCTTCCCTGGGATGGACAGGGATGGAGGCCTTCTGCACAGGAGATGCAGGGGCACGCACCCAGCCACCCACAGGTTCATGTTGCTGGGGTGTTACCGACGCTCTCATGTGCACACACAAATGCAGCACAAAGCCACACTGGACCACCCTGTTCTAAGAACTAGCACGTGGTGGGCCATCTGTTCACCACACACAAGGCAACTTCTTGCACCCCTTGCCTTTCAGCCCCTCCCAGCACGACCTGCCCCTCACCTGCCCCCACCCCTTGTGGCTGTGCCCCAGACAGCCTATTCCTTTGCTGCAGGGCAAAAAAAGTGTCAGTGGCAAGGCCACCATGCCTGGCACCCCCTCAGGGCACTAACCCTGGTCACCAGAACCACCACTTTCTTCTGGCCCCAGGCCCATCAGCGCCCCTCACGATGGTGGGTGAGGGAAGGAGGGACGGCAGGGCCTGGTGTGACCGTCCAGCAGTCTGGGCTTCTCAGTCCACATGCACCCAGCAAGCAAGCAGGCCTCCCTGGTGTTCCTGCAGCCCAACTGTCCTGCAAGGAACTTGGGGCCACTGTGTGTGGCTGCAGGAGCGTGTCCATGTGCGCGAGCGTGTGTGTGCACATGGGCATATGCACACGGCTGCTTGTGACTACTGTGCACAAGTGTGAGCACACTCTGGTGCTCTGGAAGGCGTGCTGTGGGTTGGGTGTGTGTGTGCTCAGGTGGGCAGAGGGCCTCAAGTGGGGGTGGAGCTGACTGCTGTTCCAAATAGTGCCCAGGGCTGAAGCCAAGGCCACCGCTGTACCATCTCCTGCTTTGGCCCGAGGGGCTGCATTCTGTCCCGGAGCCTCCTGGGGTCAGGGTAGACGCTGGGGTAAAAAGTCATCAGCTTTTGCTCCCAACCACCCCTCGGCTGGGGTTCCCTCTGTGTCTAGAGGGCCTGGAAGGCAGTTAAGGGGGGTCAGGGAGACCCGGGGGTGGTGGGGCCTGAGGCAAACAAGAGGAGGCAAAGACACTCTGCAGAGAGACCCAGGCAAGACAACAAGAGCCCACCCAGCACAGCAGAACCTGCCCGAGGCCCCATCTCACCCTACAGACACCCACAGGCTGCCCTGCTGAGGAAGCACGTCCACATCCAAGTTTTAATGAGAAGAGACCCAGCCCAGGGGCCGGGCAGCGCCCTCGCAGGGCAGTGCAGGCCATGAGACCAGGGGCCGGGCAGCGCCCTCGCAGGGCAGTGTGGGGCCATGCGCCCAGGGGCCAGGCAGCGCCCATGAAGGGCAGTGCAGGCCATGAGACCAGGGGCCGGGCAGCGCCCATGAAGGGCAGTGCAGGCCATGAGACCAGGGGCCAGGCAGCGCCCATGCAGGGCAGTGCAGGCCATGAGACCAGGGGCCAGGCAGCGCCCATGAAGGGCAGTGCAGGCCATGAGACCAGGGGCCGGGCAGCGCCCATGAAGGGCAGTGCAGGCCATGAGACCAGGGGCCGGGCAGCGCCCTCGCAGGGCAGTGCAGGCCATGAGACCAGGGGCCAGACAGCGCCCTCGCAGGGCAGTGCAGGCCATGAGACCAGGGGCCGGGCAGCGCCCTCACAGGGCAGTGTGGGGCCATGAGCCTAGGGGCCGGGCAGCGCCCTCACAGGGCAGTGTGGGGCCATGCGCCCAGGGGCCAGGCAGCGCCCATGAAGGGTAGTGCAGGCCATGAGACCAGGGGCCGGGCAGCGCCCTCGCAGGGCAGTGCAGGCCATGAGACCAGGGGCCAGGCAGCGCCCTCGCAGGGCAGTGCAGGCCATGAGACCAGGGGCCAGACAGCGCCCTCGCAGGGCAGTGCAGGCCATGAGACCAGGGGCCGGGCAGCGCCCTCGCAGGGCAGTGTGGGGCCATGCGCCCAGGGACCAGGCAGCGCCCATGCAGGGCAGTGCAGGCCATAAGCCCAGCGGCCGGGCAGCACCCTCACAGGTCAGTGTGGGGCCATGAGCCTAGGGGCCGGGCAGCGCCCTCGCAGGGCAGTGTGGGGCCATGAGACCAGGGGCCGGGCAGCGCCCTCACAGGGCAGTGTGGGGCCCTGCCCTGGGCATAGAGCACAGAGAAACCACGGCCCCAGTGCCAACCTCCCCAAGACTGCTGACGTCAGCTTTTCCCCTCTGTGACTTAAAGACCCGACCAGAACAACTGTAAAGGAGAAAAAGGTTATTGAGGGCTCAAGTCGCAGAGGTCCTAGTTCACAGAAGGCCAGCTCCATCCATGAGGTCAGTAAGGACATCATGGCAGAAGAGTGCAGCAGAGGGAAGCGCTCACATGGTGACCAGAAAACAGAGAGAGACTCCAGCTCCAGAAACCAAGTACGTCCTCACAGCCACACCCCCCGTGAGCCATTTCCTCCAGCCACACCTCTAGTTACCAGCTAATCCCATTAGGGATTAAACCATTGATTAGTTTAAGGCTATAACCCAATGATTTCTCCCCTGAACCTTCTTACACTGAGCTTCGGCAGAACACCATGTATCCAAACCATAAAAAAAAAAAACTTTTGGTGGGCCAGTTCCACCCCTCCATCCCTGCTGAGGCTCCCCAAAACTCTACTGCTGGACAGAGAAAAGCTCTTCAGTAAAGGGGCTCCCACCTGACCCTTGGGAGCAGGGGCTCCACACGTCTGACCACACACTTGCAGGTGAGGAGACACAGTGTCCCATAGACCAAGGAGCAGGCCGAAGTGTTGTGATATCATCAAAGGCAGCTGCACCTGCTGGCCTGCAAGTCCAGGACCGCTGACCCCAGTCAGTGCTCCTGGTGATTGGCAGCTGCAAGTGGAAGTCTTTCTTCATAGCTGAGTAGGGTAGAGCCTGTTTGTCCCCCCGCTGGTGTGGCCCGTGGCCTTCACACCTGAGACAGGGTGGGCTTGTTTCAACCCAGGCAACACTGCTTTGTTGACCCTCTTGCCTTCCCATCCCACCCCACAAAGCTGCCCACTTGGAGGGAGTGTCCCCAAATGCCCAGTATTCAGGAGAGCAGGGCTCTGTAAGTTGTTGTGAGGCTCCGTAAGTCCTTGGAAACACAAAGATACTGAGGACTTTGCAGCTGCTCAGGCTGTGCCCACCCGCCCTCCCCCGCCTGCCCATGTGGCCATCACTAGTTTGCCTTCCTGGGCAGTGTGCTCCCTGGGCCGGCCCCCTCAGGCCCTCAGTGGAGAGCACTGGCAGAGCTCCCGCCCACCCAGGGGAGCCCAGCCTGCTCTGTGGGTCGACATCCACCATAGAGAAGCAGGCCCACCAACAGCAGGAGTCCAGATCACAATGCCTGCCGCAAAGAAAAGCAAGCTGTGCTTTGGGGTTCTACTCTAAACAGAGGGGCAGGGGAGGCCTCTAACCAGGGTGGGGAGGGGCTGCTCAACCTTCCAGACACAACTCGGAACAATACACTGCACATCACACCCTGAAACACAGGTGCACGCGCGCGTGTGCGCGCACACACACACACACACACACACAGCAGCAACAAAGTCCCCTCCGACACAGTGCCAAGCCTCACTGAGTGGGACACTAATCCACTGACCCTACTTTGTTCTTTCATAGCACTTCTGGCCATGACCACTATTTTGATTGCGTGATTCACAACAGTTGGGAAGACGCTGGCTGCCCAGGGGGGCTGGTGACCACCATCTAGCAGATGAGCTGCTCCCACTGCCCAGCCTGTATCTTACACTCACAACTCATCCTCATGTGGGGGCGGGTCACACACACCAGTGAACAGGGGAATGTCCGTGAGAGGAAACCTTGTCACCCAGGGCCCAGCACCTGTTACAGTTTGGAGGTGAGGTATCCCCCAGAGTCCTGCCAATGCAGGAGATGAGATGACTGGTCGGTGAGAGTCTGAATGACTGAGTGGGTGGGACTGTGGACAGGTAGGGTGTGGCTGGAGGGGGCCACTGGGGTGTACCCTGTGCCTCTTCCCTGCAGCCCCTTCCCCTTGCTCACTCTGCTTCCCACCATGAACTGGGCAGCTTTCCTCCTCCATGATGCTCCGGGTCACCTAGGCCCAGATCAATGGAGTCAGCCCACCATGGTCTGGGTCTCTGAAACCATGAGCCCTCTGCTAAGTTGTTTGCATCAGGTATTTTGGTCACTGACTAGACAAGGGAGTCCCTGAGTCCTCCGGTGCCCACCAGGGGGACGGTGCAGTCAGCCGGTGGCTGTCACAGCGGAGACCCGGGGCCTGCCGGCACTGTGCTAACATCAAGTCACCAGCCTTTTCCACTCCGGCTGCCTCCACCTGCTCCAGCAGCCCGCTCTGCAGCTCCTCTGCTCACGCCGGCTGGGGGACACCCCACTGCAGCAAGACCCCCACTGCAGTGGTCCTC